GTATACCACTCTCTTGCCTGTGTCGTGTCGCACGTCTTCAGGGTCTGTGGGCCTGTGGGGGTAGGGCCACGACAGTCGGGCGAGGTAGGGGAATGCAGACTGCAAGGCCCTGAGTCATTGGGCCTTAATGATTAGAATAGGGCCTTGGGGGCCATTCTAGTACTACTATAACAAGGACACGCCAACGTAGCAGGCTCCTGTATGACACCATGATGTGACAGTCGGGTGTCGTTGGAAGAAACACAAACATAAACAGCTGGGTCTTGGAATAGGTATTAATGTTCAGGTCCAGCAGCGGGCAAGCCGTTCTCGATCATCCGGGCTCCTCTTGCAGCAATGTGCTGGAGTCTAAACAGTCGGGGCTACAAACTCTTGCTGAGCTCGTGCGAAGCTTATGCTTGGGCATCCGCTTGATAACTGTAGTTGGGAGGCTTAGAGCCGGAGGGTTTTATCATCCATGGTGGAGCTTTTCTGAGGATTGTGGTTTGATCATTTATAGACGGCTCTTCGCCGGGCTCCTCTCTCAAAGCCAGCAGAACTGCCTGAGTCTGAGGTTGTGACTGAAGACCATTCATTGGCAGACTCCCCATTGAGCTGCGAGCTCGACAATGGCTCCACAATTTGTGCTCAAGGGCTATTGTGACTTCTGAGATTGATTTCGTGGCACGAACAGAAGCATAGCATTGCATCACTGCAAAGTTACAGATGTTAAATTTGTCACTGACGGTAGCTTGCTTGAAAAGTTGGAGCTCGCTTGCACGAGTTGATGCCCGAACCTGGGTGCACGCGCAGATCCGTCAGGTAGCGGAGGACTTGATTGCCTTGGTGGTTCTAAGGCAACGGGCTGTAGAGCTCGAATTCCTAACGGCACGACGAAAAAGAGCATGCCTTTGCCGCTTGGTATGTTGCTTTCGATGGCAGCCAGCACCAACTGCAGTAGTATCATCAACAAGCAGCAACAATGGCAAGGCTGCTGCCACTAGTCAATTCCATCGTTCAAAGATCTTCACAACTCTATCATCGCTGTCACCAAGAACTATCGATTGACTTCCACGCAAATAGCCTTCCTGCATTTCCACACTCCCAAACACGTCCCAATCATCCCTATAAAGCCTCTGCTTGAATCCCTGGATGCCTCCTCCAGGGTCCTGCGAGCAACCACTGCAAGCTATAAGCACATGTTAACCCAGAAGACCGTCTGAAGTTCCCGAAGAGGCACATCATGTCAACTCTTGTCCAAAATCCAGCAACTAAACCCCCAAAACCCTACTCCAATTATTATACAAGATGCTGATCGGACAGACCTCGATGGCGACCCCTCGTTTCCGAACCTGCGACACGGAGAGACGCTGAGGCGTAATACTGGGGCCTTATAGTGAGTAGAATATGGTTTTTGGCCCCAGTATAAGGGATCGACAAGACGGTTCTATGATAGAGGGGCCTCAATAAGGGACCTCAATAATTAGAATACCGGTTTTGGGCCCATTATACTGTACTTACAAGGCCTCATATTCGAGGACAAGCATGAGCGTCATGTAGAGGCGACTTGGGGCTTGTACGGTTTGGGGGTTTGAGGTTTCGGGGTTTGAGACAAGGCAGCGGCACGACAGCCCTTACAAAGAAGATGTATTGGGCACCGAACACCGGCACGGATGGACTCCATTCTATGCCGGAAGCCCCCTGGTCCCCCCGCCCCAATCAACTGAGCCTCCTCCATCAAAAGCGGGTGGCTCAGTAGATTGAAACCTGAGCTTCCGACAGTGCCGGGTTGGGGGGTAAGCTAAGCGCCATAAGTAAGGCTTTGCGGTCTTGGAGCATGCCTCTTGGGAGGCTGGTCTCAAGTCCCGTGCGACGGCTTGAGCGCACTCATGTTGTGTAGGAGTCTCCCGAAATCCATGCGTCTTCTCCACTTCTCGCTCGTTGTTAAGCAAGCCGTATCCTCGTAACGGCATGGAACTCGTCGCCCAAACGCTCCTAGGACGACCTGTAGATATACATGTAACAAACATGTGTGTAGCATATATCTCTATATATATACATATATATATATATACATATACATATATATATATATATATATATATATATATATATATATATGTATACGTACATACACACACGCGCACACACACACACACATATATATATATATATATATATGGATACGGGCAGATAGACAAATGTAATAGTTTCCAAAGCCTCAACCCAACACCAGACTCTCACTTCTGAGATTAGCAGCCGTGCCCCAAGCGCTTCGCGCCGAGCAGTACTGCATCCACGGTGTTCAGAGTCGACCAGTCGCTCTGGCAACAGGTCAGGTTTCGGGAGTAACACTAAAACTAGACCCGAGGGTTGCATTTCGAGGGTTGGCGGCTACGAGAATAAAACCGTGCTTGATGGGATCAAGAGAGATGATGGATGATGATGGAGTCTTGAGGTTCAACAAGGCGACGGACACTCGGCATTGTGAGAGTTGGGCACAGGGCGTTTCATCACGACAGTAAGACTTCAAGCTCACAACGTGGACCTCGCACGAATGCACGCATTGATATCTACTGTCGAATTTCGTCTGCCTGCGACCACATGCAACTGTCTCCAAGGAGTGCTTCACAGGCATTGCTTATCTACGGCCCCAAGCATTGCCAGTGACCATTGAGAGTGCCAGGGTGCCTCCCCGTCATGTAGCATGAGCGGCACGTCGACGCCATAGTTCTTCGACAGGTTTTGGATCTCGGCGTGGAGCTAACTCATGGTTTTACACTGTCTGCGAAGCGCTAACTTTATTAGCAACTTATTATAAGTAATTTGGAAGCAGCCAATATCAGCAGATCAGGAAGTCGGCATGGCGTCGAAGTCGCAGGGCAACGAAGGACGAAGGTGAAGCAAGTGGAGAGAACTACGATCCCTGCAAATAAACACGAGCTCGCACAAGCATTCACTTCACTTCATCGGACCGAGCACTGTGATACCCATACACAGACAAGCACACACCTCCACAGTCTCTATAAACATGAAAGCCCAGCAAGCCTACAAACTTAATCAGTGAACTTGCTGAGGAAACCTCGAGGAAAAGCCATGTGGCTTGAAGTAGTTCCGCGGCATAGTCCAGTGTGGGACGACCGATGTCCTGTGCGACTGTGAGGATTCTATCGAGTTCGTCCGGATGTAGGAATGCGACTGGGGTACGGAGCGGGTTCAGGGAGGGTTCCCCAGCCGGATGTTTCGGATGTTTCCATTTTCCGAGTCTTGATTTGCACACATCACCAGAAAAGGGAATAAAGGCGAGAAGAGGCTAGAACTGAGGCTCTCTTGCCTGGCTATGGGAGATATTCGCTGGACTGTGTGTAGCAAGTGCCGGCAACAACACGCAAACCCTGAACACTCGAGCCCCCAACTTCCAAAACTTTCCCTGACCGAAACAGATGAATCAAGCTAGACAGAGGTGGTGCTGCAGGATGAGTCCACATACAACCAAGCCTGCTCACCTCGAAGCCCTGAACTCCGGAGTTGAACTTCAACTGCTGATTATGGATTCAGCTTGCGAAAAAGTAGTGTATCATGATACGAGTATCTTGCTTGGGCTAGGGGTCTGCCTTCCTGCCCCTGCGGCCTCTTCACCGGGAGCATCCCAGCCGACGATGAAATCGGGTCGCTGCTTCTTCACCTCCGGCTGCTTGGGCCCAGGCTTCGGACTCTGCTACATAGCTCTTCAAGGTCGCAGGACAGAGCCAATGAAGGAGGTGAGTGCGTCGTCTGCCCTTGGGCGTTCCCCGATTGAGGTGATAGCGGGATTTGGATTTCTGGCGAGCTCCTACATGCTCCCGCTTGGCCTCCACCACCAAACCAAAACAACCCACCCCGTTCAACACCTGAGTCTCCAATACGATCGGAATAAGAGAAGGGCTTCGAAAGAGTACACAAGGCCTGAACAACTCGCCGAGAGCATACGGATGCTGGGAATAAACTTGAATCAAGCGGAGATGACAGTACAATATCACTACGCCTCCGCACACAACGCGTAACCACGCAAGGGGGCTTTGAAGGCCACTGAGCTCACTTGCACGGCGCTTGCTGCCTCGAAGGCAAAGACGAGATCCTTCGCCATCTCCTCAAAGCTAAAGCCAGAGTCTCAAGCTATATTTGGGGCTGAGTCTGTGCGCAGGCTCAATTTTAGAGGTGACCCTATCTGGTCGTTTTGCCCCAGGGGATGCACTGGCTAGACCGCCCTTATAAGTACCCTAGTTGGGGTTATAAGTAATATTAAGTATAGTTACCCTAATAATAGCCCTAGTTGCTGAGTCCCATGACCCTGTAGAGTGTCGAACCACTGTATCGGATCCTGAGGACTTGACTTGTTTTCGTTTTATCTGCGGAGGTTTGGGGCTTCTTCCTTGTTACATAACGGGCTGAAGAGGCAGCATCCATAATTTCGTTTCCGCGGGCTTTCACAAAGCCGGGCTCCAACTGCTTGTTCCTCGCCGAGTCCCCTCACACATCAACCCTGAAATGGCAGAGACCTAACTCCACCTGGCCCCCTACGCCTCATAAGCCCAAGATGGAGGCTCTAATGATAGAAGTCCCAGTTCATGCGCATCCTATGTTAACCTTCGTAATACCCCTCGTATGTACGCTATTCCCTTGTAGCTAGTCTAGCGGTTTATTCAATATAGCTATCCCATTAAGCTATCCCTATCCCCACCTTTATCCTATAAACTAGTGATGCCCGTATCTTTTAGCTATCCATACAGTAACCCATGTAGCATACCATAGTTCTCCAGGCCCTGCCCAGAGGCTACATAGTAGGTCCTTTTTGGGAGAACGTTCTAGGAATCTAAACATGAGCCCCAAAAAGGAACTAGGATGAAGCCTTCAGGTAAACCCTAAACACCCTCAGCCCCCAAAGTCCTCGGGAGCCTTCATCCGGACGCTCGAGGCAATCCTTTGTAGGTTTATTCCTTTCTGTCCTCCTCTGTTCCAACCCAAACATGTAAGGTTTCGACTCGCACACTCGCTGACGCAGGCACGGCTTCCGGGTCCATCTTACATGTTTTGCGTTCTCAGCCGATTTATTCTGCAACGAGGTATGTATGGATGCACATACACACAAACACATGTATACATGAATACGAACATACATACGTACAAACATACATGCATACGCATGCACATACGCATATGCATGGACATAGACTGACATAGACATGTACAAATGTACAAAGTTTCATATATATACACACAGCCAGGTGCAAATGCACATGCAAATCTACATACATTACATGCATGCATGCAGTGGGGATGTGCGTGTGCAGGTGTGTATGTGACTGTATGTGCATCTGTGGGTGTTTATATGTATATGCGTGTATGAGTGTGCATGCGTATACGTAGGCGTGTGTGTGTGTGTGTATGTACGTTTGTACGCAGGCATGCATATATACATACACATGTATACATATGTATGTATGTATGTATATATATATATATATATATATACAGACCCGTGTTGATAACTCTATATGCATACACATGCACACATACACACACACGTACATCAGTGCATTCTGGACTTCTGTCGGGCTTGCAACTGTTCGCTGGGATGTTTCTGCGGGTTTTTTTGGAGGTTCTCACGGTTCGCTCCAATTTCCATCAGGCTCCCGGGGCTGACAGTTTTCGAAGAGTTGAGAATTTCGGGCTTCAGAGTCTTTTGGAGTTCAGGGTTGCCGCACCCACAGACTCCCGCAATCCCTCATGGAAAGGCTAATTCGGCAGAGGAAAGAGGGGGCGCTTCCGCCGTTTAGCCAGAGTCGGGGATTCAGAATTTCAGGGCTGCGGGGTTCTGCTCGGTACTGGCCCTGTTTCGCACAGGTTCGAGTCAGATCTGAGACAATTGACGAATCGCAAGGTGAAGTTTTGGAGTTCATGGTCTAGTGAGTCGAGTGTTTCTGAATACATATGCAAGCTTGAAGGTTGGGGATTCCGGAAATGTGTTGGCTGCAAATGGGCTTGAGGCTCAAGGTCTCCTTGCGCACGACCCAAGAAGACGAGGCAAATAACTTCCTGGGAATGTATATTATAGGGGTAGAATAGGGTCTTGGGGCCCATGATGCTATAACTACAACTAGAATAAGGAAGCCCCAAAACAGTGTTGGTAATTACTTACAGGCACCTTTTGTTGGCTCTTGAACTTGGCGCCCGGAAGACCCTGGAGCTCGCAACCCCAGAAGTCAAATTCCCCGCCGGAGGAGCATCTTGCAGGTCAGGTGCGGCGCTGACTTCTGCCTTTAGGGTTTAGTATTTAGGTGGTTATCAAAATTAGGGTCCCTTTTTGGGGTCCCTATTATAATAATACGGCACCTAATATTTAGGATACCCAAAAAGGGACCATCATGTTGACAACTATACCCATTTAGAGTTTAGGATGTACGGTGTAGGGAGACACGGAGAGCGGCGAAGGCCAAGGTCTGTCTCTCTCGTGGGTCCCCAAAAAACCATCCTCAAACCTGGAGACTCTGCACGACGATCCCGAACCGCAGATCCTCCACTACTTGGAGGTTCATGGGTAGTTCTAAGTAGGGTTATAAGTAGGGTAACTGTACTTATAACCCATATTCGGGGACTTTTTACCCCACTTATAAACCTCCAAGAACACGAGAAGCTTGCGACGCCACAAGAGCTCAAATGCTGCAAGGGATCATGGAAGTCTAAACCCTAAGCTGAAGCTAAATAACAACTCAAGACTCATAAAGCCACGGGGAAGCATGAGGCACCGTTTTATGAATGGAAAGAGCTACGAAGAGAGCTCCATGCGTGGACTTTGCTTGATGGAAAGTGGCTCTTCTAGCACAACGAAACCAGTGGAGGGGAAGCAACGACTGAAGCCACTAAACCTGCCCTGAGTTGTTGTAATTAAGTCTGCATCCACTCCTGCTTCTCGGTGTGTCGCCCCAAAAGAATGCATGCATCCGAGCAGCATCTCGGAGATGACTCGGGTGTAGACGTCCATCTTGGCAGCTCCTAGACAGAAGTACAGTGTGCGGGTTGAAGTGTTCCGATGAATGCGGTCCTGCGTCCGGGAGTCAACCCTAGTTAGCCCATACTTACCGTGCCTTCTGTACGACGCTGTCCCTGGATTGGCCCAGCAACGTCTCGAAAGTCCACTCGAGAATGCGTGAGATCGTTGCTTAGAGATCGCAATCGCGCTAGCAGACTGGATATGAAAGCTTCTTTGCTACCAGACTTCTTGATGCTGCCTACAGCAATGGATATGGCTGCTGCACCGTGTCGGGCAGCAGCACTGCCCCTTCGAATCAATTTGTCCGTGGAAAAAGAACAAGTCGAGTCTTGGTGGTTCCCGATTTAAAAACAAACCTGACCCAAAGCAGCAACCTCACAAGACATCCAAGCCAATAAGGGCTGGCTTGTCCATTGCCCTCACTTGACCCATTCACTTCCTTGGGGGCCCGAGGCTATCCGGTACGAGGCGGATCCTTGGTACTCACGACCATCAAGATCGTAGAGCCCGCTGTCATGGAAGAGGTCAATTCCTCGGCTTTGCACACGTCAGAACCGCCCAAGCGCCTTTCTTTACTCAAGAATAGAACATTCACCCAGTGGCACGGGGATTCTTGAGTCTCGGCGAGCGACTGCCATCAGGTGGGGGTTCAGATTCTTGGCATCAAGCTTTCGTTTGTTTGTGGCGTGAACAACCTTATAGTTTTTCCGTCAGCCTTGCCGTGTATGGTTGTCAATTATTTGAGATACGCGGTGGATGTCCCTTATGATAACCAAGAGAGACCTAAGCAAGCCTGGGCTGATTCACTTGGAAGGCGGCGATCGTTACTTCTCTGGGCCAGAGGCTTCTACATCGAGCCGGACTTGCTTCACGGGGATCAGAGGGACTAGCACGCATGACAGTCACCAATATCCGTTGTGCTCTTCAGGACCTCCTCAAAAGCCATGCCAAACGAAACCAACACCAGCACATCTTGATTCAGGAACGTTTTGGGTATTGGCTCCACGAGATCCATGGGGGAGCAGGACGTGTTAGCTTGGGGTTTAGGGTTCAAGGTTGAATCATAATTGGTCGGTCGGTAGAAGTATACGTGCCAGTCAGGTTTCGGAGCTCCACGTGGGAAACACCGTCGGCCAAGAAGTCTTGAAGAGTGGCGCGCAGATATTCCCTGCATTTCCGTGGGGCGTGTGATCTTAGCCGTGGTGTTTGGGGTGAGGATGTCACGAAATCAAACCTCTAAACCCGCGTGTGAAGGTTGACATGGATTCCACGTCTGAACACACACATTGCCGTGCGCCTGACAGATCTATACAGTATATACACATGATCAGTCTCTGCCAGTCGTCTTAGCGGGCGCAACAACGAGGTTTTCAAGGACTCCAAAAACCTATCCATAGATACAGCTGCAGTGCGAACTCCTCTAATTTCCTTCGGAGAGTTTAGTTCAGAGTTCAAGATGAACATTTTGGGATAGGGCCTAACCCTTCAACGTCAACGTGTGGGGTTTGGGGCTCATGCTTTTTTGCGCTCCCGGGCTTGACAAGCGCACTTCAATGCAACGTGACCAGCCGAGCGGCTCCACAGCCAGCCTATTCGTGAAGAAATCGCCAATGCGAACAAAGACGTCCTGGGCGAGTTGACACGAATTTCGCAAACTGTGGCATTCATGGCGAACTTCGGCTGAGATGTTCACGAATTAGTAGAACTTGCATGACCTCACGTGACGAAGCTGACAGGCCTTTCGAGCAGTCCGAGAACATTGTTTTGACAGGTTGTGTAAACCCTACACAGCCCCTCAACCTGGCACAAATGGCAATGACAACGACTTCGTCCCAAGCCAGACAGGACTCTGCAAACTTGCTCCAAATCTGCGGCGAAGTCAGCATTTCGTCCTCCGGACGTCTGGTTTCACGAGGGCTTCTGGGACATAGCAACCCTTAAGGGTCATTTAACTGAGTCGAAATTCCCACCACAGGCGCCGGCAATCAACAGCCGTGTGTGTTTGGTCCACAATCTCAGTGCTGCCGCTTCTCAAAAGAGTGCACTGATGCATTGCTGTGCTTGTGTGTGTGTGTGTGTGTTTGTGGGGATGCATGTTGCAAGAGCAGCCTTGAACGTCGCGAACCACTCTTCAGTTGATAAACAATTAACTTAGGTGCAAGCTCATTTGCTAATACGGGCGGTCAGTATGTGATGGTAGCAAGATACCCTAAACATATCCCCAAGTGAACACATGCATCGCAACATGCAGGGAACACTTCTGATAATCGCACAGATGGTTGCATATGACTTCAAGCCCTCCTGCCTCTTCCCGGATGATCAGAAGCTTGAGCAAGTCGGCCTTGCCGGAGGGCTACGCTACTTGGCTTCAAACGTGAGTCCGTGTACCCTTACATCGGCGAAGTCAGGCACGTGCTTCTGCGGCATTACTTTTGTGATCAACTCGCTCGCCATTGGTCCATGCAGCACAAATGCATGATATCGACAGAGTAAGTCAGCGCGAATGACAGCGTCAGGGGGTTACGCGGTCCTACCATCAAGTGCTCAGTTCTGTCCCTTCAGAGACATCACGCGAAGAACACCACCACGCCTCAAACCATCGAATGCAAGAGGCCGAAGAAACAGCTACGGAAAAACACACTGCACGAAAAACACGAATCCCCAAGACTTCCAAATCCTGACCCCCGCAGGCCACTTCTGATTCTGATCCCGCCTTAAAACCTGCTTGTTGCAGAAGCTTCTGTGCCGGGAGATACCCAGCTGGAATGGCCTGCCCGAGATGCCACAAGTGACAACTCATGTGCAGCTTGCCCGGTTGAAGGGTTTCGACTCGCGCGACAGCACGACGGCAGGCACGGATGCACGAGGGGATTGTTGACGCTCACAATCGGACAAACCAAATCAAAGGGACATTTTTGCAAATGTATTCAGCAGTATTACCATAGAACACACATACCCTGATTTTGCAAGCTGTGCTTGCGCAGTCCAGACATGGACCCAAAAATACGGGGCCAGGCGTCCGTGAAGCTCTGAACCTCACCCAAAATACCATCCAAAAACTACCTCCAAAGTCCGAATCCGACCTCTCTTTGTCGGTCTCAGGGCAACTCAGGCTCTGAAGCCGGAAGCCTTACTATAGGGCCCTATAAATAATTACCAATACTATTTCGGGGGGGTTCCTTATTATTATTATTCTTCTTCTTATAATTATTATTATAGTTTTATGAAGGCCCGGCCTGCGAGGAGTTGAAGAAAGCCAGCTTTCCTCTCAAAGCGACGCATCCACACCGCAGCCAGCACACTGCTAGAAATCTTGAGTTGGCAAATCCCAGGGCTAGCCTCTAGGGTTTGGGCCGGTTTAGGCTGGGGTGAACGCCAGTCAGAAACTTGGCAACTTGTTGGCTTGAGTCGTTCGTTGTTCGTTAGTAGTATGTTTTGGTTGTTCATCGTCGGTCCAATTGCTATGTTTGCTTTATGCTTCACTCCCTGCCCTTTGGAGTTAACATTATAAATAAAGAAATATGTATATATATAATATTTGTTTATATATGACTATAATTGCAATACGTACCCAGATAAAAAAGATCAAAAGATAAATACTACAAGATAAACTTGGGGGCAGAGTCTTCATAGATTTGGAAGCCTAGGCTTCGGATTTAGAGTTTTTCTTCGTTGCAACTGATGACCTCAAGACGCTTCAGGGTGTCAAAAAAGAAGCACCAACCCCTGAAATCCGAAGCCGTGCAGATTGGGGCTTGCAACAGGAAGACAGCCCACTCCTTTCGGAACTGGTGGCGCGGCCGAAGGTTTCTCCAAGCCTGGTGATTATGACAGTCGGGAATTACGAGGAGAGGGAGAAGGAGGAGGCGGAGGAGAGAAGGTAAAATATGATGACGATACTGCGGATTGCGGCGATGAAGACGCAGTGGAGGGTTTTCATTAAGCAACAGCCAGGCTGGTGATGACATCTATACGAGGCTGATGGCTCAACATGTGGACAGCAGGAGGAGTAAGAGCTAACGGAGGTTGCAACACTGTCTGCACTGTTTGTTTGGAGTTGGGGGGTGCCAGTGTCTGGTCTAGGCTGCCCCACCCCACTCTCGGCGACCAAAAAGCAGTAGTTGGCCCTGTGCCCGTGACGACAAATTCCAACACCTTTTTGAGCTGAACCCGCATTTCCGGCTGCAGGTTGAGGATTGATTAGGTAAGTATTCCGAGTAGGGCTTGACTCCAAGCTCTAAGCCTCCAGGTGAAAGGCTCGAAGTTGAGGGCACTATAACCGACCTTTCGATCGGTGAAGTTTACGGGTTCAGGCCTCGCCAGAGTTTTCTTCAAGGATCCAGCAACGCAAGATCTGCCTTGCCTGGCCTCCTAAAAGCCTTACAAGGAAGCAGTTTCCTGACAACGAACTATGAGCTATGTTACGACTAGACTACCATAGCGGCAATACTGATGATGAATGAATGTTGTTTCTCATCGTTCTAGCCAAGCTGACCGATGATGTGCACCAGTATACCTGCTATCATCAATGCACGCCAATTCAAATCACCATCATCATCAGTCAGAAGCAAAAAGTAACTAAGACTCTGCCACGAAACCCATGTCTGTTGGCCAGTAGACGTGGCAACCTGGAAGCAGAAGGCCTGAGGAATCCGGAGAGCTCTCTTAGACAACTTTTGCTGTCGGCGCATAGTGCAGGAGCTAAGGGTTTGGGGGGTGGTACCCAAGGTTCCAAGCTTTGCAGTAGGGATTTAAGGATTCAGGGCATGGGAATTCCGAATCGTGAACAGCTATCTTGCAGGCGTGCTTCCCTTGTCCACGATCCATTCCAGTGACGTCGCCGAGGAGAAGTGCACATGCAGCGCCCCACCCTGGCATCTTGCGAAGCGATATCCCGAAAACCGCTTCACGATGCGGTGAACTGACCCGCAAAACCCGAAACGTCTTATTAAGTCCCCGACCAACATTAAAACAGCCAGGATATCTGAGACATGGAGTCAACTTGAAACTTTTACGCCTCCAAACTCCGGAACCCACTCCGAAGCCCTGCGAAACCCATCAACCCTAAACCCAAAACCCTAAATTCTGCCTTCGGCATCTTCCGGAGGACTTTGTAAAGGGTTGTGTTCTCGATGTGGGCTCGGACCTTCCTGTCTGCAACAGACTTCCGAATGGAGAGTGCGGAGTTCAGGAGCAGACTCCCTAAACCCTAAACCCTCTCTCTCTCTCTCTCTCTCTCTCTCTCTCTCTCTCTCTCTTTTTCTCCCAGGCATTCGAAACGAAACCCTCATTCTGGGGCGAAGAGTCTTCACCTAGTGCACCGACGCGGAAGATTTCCATGCCGTCGGCGGCTCTAAACTAACTGCTGCCCGGCGTCGGAAAGTAGGTTGCAGGAACAAAGCGCTCCACCAACCTCTCCTTCTTGTACCTCAAGTGACACAGATTCTGGTAGTTTCCGAAAATGAGGGGACCCTGATATACGTAGTACCCTACAATGCCAGATGAGTGAATGTCCCCAGTGTAGGGGCCTTTTCTTTCATTGCAAGACGGCTGTACATAATCCTCACATCCCTCATGCTCCCAACGAAGACATGTCTGTCCATAGACAGTCCGCCGGGGGAAGTCCAGAGAAGCCCGCTCCTTTCAGCGAGCATTCTCAACTGGCAACTCTTGCGCCATGTTCCGCCTGAAGGTTCTATGCGCATGAATTGGCAAATCGGTCGGTTGCTGATTGTCGTCTGTCAAGGGCCCAGAAAGTTGCGAGAAGAATAGCAGTTACTCCAGTCATACCTAAACTCAGGAGCTGCGTAGGAATCCAGCCTAAGCTGGCCACAATCGGCATGGAAAGAAGGGTGAACATAGCCGCGCCCATGCTGCCACAACAATCCGTCACTGCCTGTACTTTCGGGCCCTCAGCCCCTGAGTGCATCTTCGTCAGCAGCGTCGAACCTCCAAGGTACATGAAGTTCCATGCAATTCCCAGCAGTGCCATGCCCACGACGAAAGACAAGAGGCCTGGACCAAGGTAGAGCACGCAAGCGGTGAGGACAGTACAGACAAGTCCGGCCAGAATCACGGGTATGGGCCCCACTCTTCCCATGGCTATGCCAGTCAGAGGAGAGGGCGCAAACATGCAGAACATGTGTCCCATCATGGTCAATGTGGATGCCGTGAAGGAATGAGAATAGCTCTTCATGACAGCTGGAGTTGGCGCCATGAGCACCAGCATGATGCTGTAGGAGGCTACTATCGTCACCACGGCAGCTGCACACTGCGGCTGCACCAGTATTTCCGTGAGTGGCCGAGGCTGTACCCTCGTAGCAGCCTTCGGCTGCATCGTTCCTCCAGGGAGCTTCGTGAAGCTCAGAAACAGCACCGCCAGCAGATTTAGAAGTGCACCACAAAGGTAGATGCCGATGAAGGGGACAGGTAGCAAGTCCCGGGCCTGTGAAATGGCCCCAGAGCCCAGCAAGGCCCCGACAACGCCTCCGAAGAGCACCAAGCTGATAGCACGAGGTGGATTCGAGGGCATAGCCTGGATGGCGCCAAAGCGATAGTTCTCGGCATACGCGAAGCTGTAGCCTGAAAGGCAGGCCCCAAGGCACTGGAGGCCGAAGTTCAGGAGCCAGGAGCCCAGGGTCAGGGTGGCACAGCTCACGAGCCCGACTCCTGCACCAGTGAGATACATGTTCTTTCGGCCCAAATACCGCACTTTTGCCGGAAGGGCCATATTCCCAGCGGCTTGCATGACCAGCAGAAGGCCAAGAGGCAATGTCTGCAGCTCCACAGCGGGCGCTGTGGGGGCGACTGCCAGCGTGAGTGTGGCTACATTGGAAGCAAAATTAGCGAAGGCCGTGGCCCAGGCCCCCGACAGCAGCAACACGGACTTCCAGTCATCTGCCGGTAGCTCAAGCTTTACCGGCTCCTCAGTGGCATGGCTGTTGCCTGACGGCATAGCGATTTCCGCCTACTGCATGTTGTGTCTGACGATGTACTCGGTCGCAGATATGTGGATTTGCGGGCTGTTGTGCTCAGCAACCATGCGAATGCTTGGTGGAAAGTGTAGGCCTGAAGCCAGTCTTGAGCCCTTACTGACATGTGCATCCGCATGCCAGGACGGCGAAGCATCAACCAGGGGCCGGCCGGGACAGCAACGCATCCCCTCGCTGTGAAGCCTTGATTCGTGAGACCTTGATCATCTAGTCACCATGAGAACAGACATTTCGCCAAAGCCCATGCTCTGACAATAAAGAAGACTGAACTCATAACTCCTTATATCCGAACTTCTTGAATCCGACTGTTGCAGAATTCCTATATCCAACTCTAACACACCCCAAGCCCAAGCTCTTGCTGCTTCTGGGTGCTCTGAACCTCCCTTAGACTGTATGAAATTCGGACAAAACCTTCAGCAAGTTAATAGAACCCCTTGAAGAACCTGCGCTACATAGACTCCTCGACTTGTCTGGGTCCCAGTGGCTCTTGGATCATTCTTCCAACAGTAGTATTCAGCCAGCGATCGAACTCCTGTTCGGCCTGGGCAGCCAAAAACGGCAAAGGCTTAACATCACTGCCTCGCCTGACTACCTTTTTACTACGGTCTAGCCCACTATCGTGAATTTCTTCCATATGAGCATATGCAGGTCGTTGCGGTGTCGTGCTTATTACTGTTATCGCCAGTACCACTATGCGTCCGGCTTGCCCTGGAGCATTCAAGCAAACGATCGCTCGATTTCGGGCCTGGGCCCTCAACCACCAGCCGCCAGCCCAAGCTTCCCTCTGCAAGGGAACAGAAGTAAACCGTCGGGCTCCCGACGAAAATTCAGGGTTCCACAAAGCCACCGATCGAACAGACTGCGAGATGCCTATAAACGCCGTCTTACAAGGATCTTGTGCTTTCCGCACTTCGTATTTCTTGTAAGCTCCACCCTAAACCTCGAAAGACCTCAGCACCCCCCGGCTGCCTGGCTAAGCTTCAGCCCAGAGCCGTCCATCAGTGCATCCTCGGCCTGGAGAAACCTTGGCTGCCACGGTACTACATTTACATCATGATACATTTAAACACCCACGAGACACATCTTAACCCAGGAATCTAAGCCTCAAATCCTACCAGCAATCAACTTCTACCACGCTTTTTTGCATCAGGACTTGTGCGCAATCACCTGAACATTGACTTGCACAACAAGGCTGCCCCCCCCTAAACGCTTTTTGCAGCAGGCTTGCAAGGACGCCTGGTAGTTTGCCCCCTTCTTGCCGCTGGACTCAAGTCTAGCCAGTCTACCCCCTAAACCCTAAACCCTCCAGCCCCTGCCAAGAAGCTCTTCCCGACGCTTGAGGTAAGATGCGAGGTTGGCATCTCCTCGTGGCGGAGAAGAGGCTTCGGAGAGGTTCGTTGGCTCGGCTAACCAGTGGTTTTGGGGGTTCCCTTGGCTCTTTAGCTCCTTGTTCATTGGGGATTATCATCATCCCTGCCTCCTTAGCTCCTCCAATATCAATGGTAAGTAAGATCTCTGGCTGCTTTTGAACGTGTCTGTTCTCCGCACACGAACATCCCAGAAAGGCCTGGCGGCGGGGACCCTGGGTCAGGGCTTAGGGTTCTTTTTGTTTGGGGGGGAGGGGGGGGGTCGATTTGTGGGGTACTCCTTGGGGCTTTAGGGTTTGGGTCAGCAGAGGTCAGCATTCGGTTTGAGGGCTTCGTAACTCGTCGGCATTCGTCGGCGAAACAAGTCAAGATATATGATCCCTGTAACATAGTTGCCCTAATAATTCGAACAGGGTTTCGGCTCTGCATGCAATAATGGATATCAAGGAGCCCTAAAGGAATAATATTGGTACACGTATGTGCTCAGCCAGGAATGACCACTAGCGATGCACTGGCGATGCATGTGATACGAGTATATAGGTGCTTAGATTGAAAACAGGAGTGTGCACTCCGGCGCATGCAAATCGTCCCAAGCAGGTACGTGATTCAAATCCCGGCGGTCACTGGCTACCTCCTATGAGCAACCTCTCCTGCCGCCACGCACGCAGCGAGTAAGGCAACAGCCCAACGAAGCGCCATGTTCGGGAGGTCTGGAACAGACTGGACTTCACTGGCGGTAGGGAAACTTGAATTAGATCCCAAAGCTTGGATATGTTTGCATCGTGTGGGCGCTGCCATGGAGACAGGCTTCCTATCAACACGACCTGCTGGCCAATATGGCAACTGCTCAGCGGCCGCGGGTGGATCGTCGCACACGTCGTGTACCACATCATGCACGGTTAATTGGTTTAGGGTTAAAATGTATCATAGATAGGCAGATGAAAGGAATGCAATTTCCCTCCTCTCGACATCGAGACACAAAGTGTCTGCCTGAAACTATCTGGAGCTATGAGGGTCTCGAACAGTGGTCGTGCTGCCAGCCGGGGCCTGTTACTGGCTGCTCTTGCGGTGGTTGCTCCAACACCTCCAGTACCTGCAAAGCTGAAATTTGTGGACCCAGCAAGACACTGCAGCAACGCCTCCCACCTCTCACTCCCATTGATCAGGTGCACTTTCGTGCGGCCAATCTGTACTTGTAGGGTGCAGGGTGCAGGGGAGGTCACATCGAAGACTTCGGAAATCTCCTCCATTCCTGGCCTCAGAAGCAGCAACGCAAACACACACACACACACACACACACACACACACACACACACACACACACACACACACACACACACACACACACACACACACACACACACACACACACACACACACACACACGCACACGCACACGCACACACGCACACGCACACGCACACGCACACGCACACGCACACGCACACGCACACGCACACGCACACGCACACGCACACGCACACGCACACGCACACGCACACGCACACGCACGCGCACGCACAGATGTGCGTGTATAACAACTATATATGAACTGTATCAGTATATGCTAGGCTTTATACGCAGTATTCGAATATGTATATATATATATATATATACATATATGTACACACACTTATATATACACACATACACATGTGTGTCTGTCGCTCTCTCTCCTCTCTTTCTTACTGAATCTTTCTGCTTTCGAGGCCTCATACGGTCTCACTGACTGTGCCTATGTGGAGAAGCCCCATGGTTTCGCTCAGACAAGATATACGTGCTGCGACGTGAAGCTTGAACCCGCTGATGCCCAGGCTCACTTCCGGTACCGTGCGTGCATATCCTGAACTGGGACTCCCGAACATGTATCCATGCTTCGGAATGTGGCATTCTGGGAATGAGCGGTGTAAGCTCGACCAGCACCCCAACAAGGATCTTCATCCATGCAGGGACATCCTGAGCCCCAGACAAGAAAATCAGAATGCCTGGCTTGAGTGCTTGTGGATTCTGGATGAACCGCTTTGGGAGACAAGAAGGCGTCTCTTACCCACCCATGCATGATGCTGTACTTGTTTGCTGGGTGTGTGAGTCGGGGCTGGGGCATGAGACTTCACAGACCTGTGGAGCCGGCGTGTCCGGAATGCTTCTCGAATGCCGGGCTTGTCTCAGACTTGCTGAAATCCTGCCGAAACATTATGGTGCCGCAAACCTTCGCCACCCCACAGTGACACACTCATTATATGGGACTCCTCTATAGTCTATAGTCCAGTTACTACCAGCGAGGCTTTCCTTGCTGGGGCCCTGAAGGGAAGTAGATTCTGGCGGCTGTCTCTGTACCCCAACCTCTAAATGTCAGAGAATCGTGTCGAAGGGAAGCAGCTCGGTCTGAGCTTCGGGAGTTCTCTTCTTGCGGTATAGGGCTTACCTGGACCCCCCCAAATACCCACTATCAAGGGCCATAAGCGCTCTATTAAAGGGTCTTTGGGGGGTCCTGGTAGGGAGTTAAGGTTCGGAATTTAAGGGTTTATAACCCTTTTTGCCGCTGGGCTTGGGATAGCCAGATCCTTGCATCACGGCCTCTCCGTGTTTATAGCCCTTAACCCTCTCTCTCTCTCTCTCTCTCTCTCTCTCTCTCTCTCTCTCTCTCGCACGGACTAAGTTACGACGCAATACACAGCGATTTCGCTATGTGCGAAGCCCCCAAACCCGAAACCCTAAATTAGGAGTTTAGGGTAGGGTTTGGAGTTTGGAGTCTATAGCCCTGAACCCTAAACCCCTAAACCCTAAATTAGGCGTTTAGTGTAGGGTTTGGGGTGTATCGTCAAAGCGCGATGCCGGAGAGACCTTCACCACCAAGGCCCAGGATGCGGACCTCAACGTTCTATAGGGGCCATATATAAAATTAAACTAAGCTTCCTATAAAGGGAGCTATAGGGGCTACAATAAGGGATACTATGAAGGGTACTGTGATCTTAATAATTGGAATAGAGTTCCTTTAAAACGCTTTTTCTGAATAAGAGACTCGTGTGAACGTTAGGATGCTACTACAAGTGCCCGTATAGTCCCAAACTGCCTGTTCGGTTGAAGAATGCATAATGGCGTGGGCTTACTGTTGGCTCCCGGTCCCGCATGTAGGCTTTAGACTTTGGGGGATTTACGTCCTACTTAGGATCCCAGGGTTCGGTTTCGTGGCTTCAAGGGTCTACGGGCATCGGCTTTATTGTGGCAAGTCGTTGTTGCCGAGCACCCGGCTTGGACAAGTCTTGCTGACACAGCCGATATAATTAGCTTTACTTCCCTTTGGGGCCAGCGACCTTCCGCTAGTTGTTCGAGAGGGCCGATACCCGCTGATCAGCTTAGGTTGTCTGGCCGGCTGCGCTGCGCAAGGAGACCCACCATTGACTCAAGCTATCCCGCACAGCTCACTTCTGCACAACAGAAGTCAGTGGGTGTGTTTGTGGTTGTCGAAAGAAACTATAATGCAAAATATCACTGGACCACAAGACGTCTCAATGCAAGACATACTCCTCCCGAAATCGAAATGGCAAGGCCTGCGACCCCACACCCTCAGCCATGACCTTGGCCTGAGCCAGAAATGATCCTCAGCAAATTGACCAGCCTCAGTTCCGGGTGCCGTGCCAGCTCCAGCAAGAGATGTGGGAAGCCACGTTGGAGCTGCGGCCTCATCGTACAGGAGACTGTGGCCGAAGCCCCGCAACATTTAATATATATATATATATATATATAAATTACAATTAAAACAGCACCACATCATGTAACCTGGTATATAACTTGCATTACATCGCATGCGGAGTACCTAGGGGCTGATAAGGCCCACGGCCGTGCAAAGACATTGTTGCCTGCATCTGTCCTACTGGGAACGACAATAACAATTGCAACAATCCTAGAAACCATGCTCATAATTACCCTAAACCCTAAACCCTAAACCGTGACTCATAATGGATACTCGAACGATTAAACCATGTGATGGGGGAAGAGTGAAGGATTCCGGTGCAGCTGAGCCAAGCGGAGACAGGCGGACCCATGCCCAACCCAAGTTGGCTTCGGGGGAGTTGCTCAAAATGGCGTGCGATTGCTGGAGCTTTGTAAGAGGTCGCTCTGAGCCGTCTCTCCGAGCCAACGAACGATACATGCCTATCTTTGTTCTTGTACTCTGCGGCTCTGAAGCACAACAACCCTTAACGAGCCCTTCATCCTGCGCCCCTTAAGTGCCCGTAGATCTGAATGCCTTGACATGTTACTTGGACTCCAGCTTCATGGCGACAACACCGGGATCGGAAGTCCTCTGCTCGCGCGAGCAGCACAGTGAGGGCTTGAAGGCGACGGGTCTGGGTTTTCTACCGATGCTGAGTTTGGCTTTTGCAGTGCTGAGGCTTGGAATTCAAGGTTGCATTGCAAGTGGTTTTGGGGCCTTAGGCCGAAAGCAGCCCTGACCCATGATCCCAAATAAAACCTGAAAGCCCCAAACCCCTAGAAACCCCAGCTAAACTTGAACGTCTTTTCTGTGCTGGCAAAGCCATGTTTATGCCGATTGCCTATAAACCCACAGTCCCTACAGTCGCAAGGCCCCAATTACCCTCAACCGCACCGGCCTCTTCAAACCATCTTCCC